AAAAAAAAAAAAAAAAAAAAAAAAAAAAAAAATCAGTAGGCAATTAGAGTATCATTTTAATTGGTCTTTAAACTTTTATTTTAGAAAGATTGTCCTAATGAATACATTTAATGATTCACGACTGTTAGAACACAAGGAAGTACTTTGTTTCTACATTATTTTGCCAAGAGAACTGTAAGGTTCTATACATTTTTCTATGTATAGAGAAAGGCACAACAAAGGAGAGTAGGCTTTCAGCAGCAGAAACAGAACAACAGATAAACTACAATAATGGCCTAATTCAACAAAAGTCCATCTTCCTTTGGCCTGGGCACAGAGAAAGTATACTTTTACTTACAAGTAAATAATAAATCAAATAGCCTATTGTGTGTGTGGCTTTTTAATGGCAATGGCAAAAAGATATCCAGGAGATAAACAATCTTTTCAGACGCAAACAATGTACCTTTAGGAGCAAATAGAGGACAGGCTCCCTAAATATCAGGGCTTTGCCAATATGCATGCATGTTCCAAAAGCCCTGGCTATTTGAAAGCAATCCGGGCTATGACAGATGCTAAACACAATCTTTTCCCCTTACTTAGCTATTTACATGGCTCCATCTCTGTAATAGCTGGGTGTCTGAGAGAGAGTTAAATATCATGTAAATCTAGAATGTATGCAGGTTGCACTTACACAGGACAAGGAAACAAATCTATGCCCTCACTGTAAGATCACCCATTAATCTTCATCACCACCTTGTGTTGTCAACCAATCAATGTAGTATTTTTAGCACTATGAGGGGCATCAAATCCATCTACAGACAGGAGTAAATCATATGCACATCCTGTCTAGCTTCTGAGGAAGAAAGGCTTTTGCTGAGTTCTAAATTGGGGGGAATCTTGTTCTAGCTGATCGAATGCATCAAATCACATGTTCCCTGGTGAGACTTGAAGTCTTTTACACAGAAAAGGAAAACAAAATATTTCTCCCAAGACTAGAAAATACCACGCACCTCATCCTAACCAGGATATTGGATGCAAACGCTTCTGAAATTTAGAAAACTGATATCCAAAACTTGCAGGGTCAGGCCCACTCCTCAGTCAGGAAATCTGACTCATTGGTCTGAAACTGGGCACCCCCCAATCCTTTCTTTAATCCATTCTGTGCATCATTTTATCCCCATCTGGCACTGGTCATTGTTGGAAACAGACACATTAATTAAAAAGGCAATCTACGGTACAAACTGTTCCCTTCCCATCAGCTCTACCACAAAACTATAAGAGAACAACAAGGTTACTAAGTCTTTTCTATAAGTGAAAGAGACCCATCAGCTACACAGGGGCGAGCAATTATTTTGGGTGGAGGGCCACTTATCGAGTTTTGGCAAGCTATCAACGGCTGCATGACAGGCAACTAGGGGCAGATAAATATTAATTTTCTAA